TAGCTGATATCTTGATGGTCAAAATGGAGAAATAAATAGAGAGGTAAATAGAAGGGCCATGGAGGGGACAAAGCACTTTAAGATGGCAACAACAACAACCACACAGCATCACAGAAATTAAAACAGAATGGCAATACCCACCCACCATAACACTTAAGTGTTTTCTCATGAGAGGTGAGTGGCATGTTTTATGTCAACCAGTACCAAGAAAAAAAAAACATATTGCTTCCTTTGATTATCTAGGTAAGACAATTTTCCATGAAATTCATTCAACTCTGAGGAAAGAAAACTGGTCAAATAATATTTCTTTATTATACAGTTCCAGCCATAGTTCAGGGTGGCAGGCCTTTAACTGCAACATTGTTGATATACTTGGCTGTGCCAAAGGGCAGATTACACCACATGAATAAATCAATGCCACCACCACCGTGGAGAGGCAAAACACTGCACAACTACAGACACAAACCAAACCGGCTGACTAGATATCAGCATGATGGTTTTGAGTATGATGCAACTGTGCAATAAGCAGAGATGATCAGAAGCAATTCAACAACTTCAAGTCGAACATATTATCTGCCACTTGCATGAAAGCACAATCCTGCTAACATCAGTAGGGTTGGGTATCGTTTGAATTTGATCGATTCCGGTTCCGATTCTGCTTATCGATTCCGATTCTTATCGATTCCTAATTCCGATTCCAATAAAATTTGTTTAATGGATTTTATTATCTTAAGTCAAATATTTAGATGTCAAACATATTTATTCTGTTTTATGTCAATGGTTTTATAAAAAAAAATATCACAGAAAAAAACAACTAGACTAATATAAATTTCAAACATTAAAATTGTTAAAGACAAGTAAACAAATTAAATAGCAATAGCATAAATAAAACGAACAAATGTCAGGTAAAGAAATTGAAATCAAAAGTTTAAAAACACTGTATAGTTTTCTTTTCATAAAATATTGATTAATCCGCATTAAATTTACGAAAGATACTCAGTCAGTTAATGATTTTCTTTTGTTCTTTGATTAACATTAATAATAGGCAGCACGTTTATTAGACGGCTGTCTCTTTAACACCGAACACACACAGATCTAAAAATACTGTTACACATGCGTTTTCTTTTTCATCTGTTTACGTTCACTTAAGACAAAAAAACGGCTGTGTTTATGATGATATACTGAGGTATTTTGTGCATAATGGTCGATAAATGTGAAAGAAGTCAGTTCTGGCCCGGAACAACATTTGTTGAAATGCATGGAACAGTTCGAGAACGGACACAGGTCGGGAACCTGCATCGGGACCACTGATCTCTGTGCTACCGCTTCAGATGGTTTAACCTTAATGAGAGAGCTGAAGCCCAATGACTACACACCTACATAATCTGCCACACGCACCGCAGGAGAACAACCCTGGGAGAAGAGCAATGCTTCACGAGGACGTAGACATTGCGTAAAAGATTCAGAGTATGAATGTACAGAGCTAAGAATATCAGATGAAAAAAACAAAATGACCTAATATTCTGTGTCTGATGACAGCATGTAGCACAATAGCAAGAGTAAGCATTATTACTTCAGCAAAATAAAGAAATCTATTCCCAAATAGGGCGGTTGAATGAAACAATAGACATTCAGCTGAATCACTGGACATTTTGAGTTTATGAATCACATTTGTAGTGCTAGACTCTATGTATGCGCTGATGAAAACATGAGATAATCTTCCTGCCGGTGAGTCCTGACCTCCCGATGGCTGGAAGGGGTGTGTGGAGCGCCGGGTGTGGCGGCACACTAACCCCAACACACACTCGCACACACTGTAGATGAGGTCATGGGTATTTCCATTCTTTGAGAGAGTGCTTTTCCTCTCCCGTCTGTTCACACTCAGAAATCTTGCTGTAATAAATTTCGGAGGTTGCAACACAGGTGCTTCTGCAAGGCCGAGAGGAACTCTGTGGCTTAGTCATACACAGCTGCCAAATTATAGCCCAAAGTATGACAGATGGGGGCAGCGCGGGCTGACAGATCCCATGTAACCAGCTAATGAGACCGATTCCTGTGACGAGCTTCACGAGGGAGACCGTGAGCAGGTCAGAGATGACTAACATGGCAATGAGAACTTTAACTCTGAGAACAAATCTCTGACAAAATGTGACCTTATAGCACAAGACTTTATAGAAAGATAGACACAGTAATAGAAAACAGCGTAGCTTTTAGATATAACATAATAACAATTTTCCCTTACACAATAACATTCAGAGATTCTGGGGTTGGCAAAGATTTTTGAATGGCTTTGAAAGATTCATTCATTTAAAAACAAACAGAAACATTCTAATATCTAATAAATTATTGTAAATAATTAGATATGATTGTAAATAATATCTAATTATTTACAGAAATAAATTATTGTAAATAATTAGATATGATTGTAAATAATATCTAATTATTTACAGAAATAAATTATTGTAAATAATTAGATATGATTGTAAATAATATCTAATTATTTACAGA